CCCCCAGAAGCTTTGGAACACATTGACACGCTGAAAAAATTCCAGACCAGATCAAATCAGCCACTGAGGGAATGGCATAGGCTCTGTGTATCTCAGGGGCGGCTGAAGCTGAGAGCCACCAGTGAATCACAACACCGTCACTTTAGAGACGGCAGTAATGAGGCCAAAAGTTGGGGAGTCTCCTGTTTTAGAGAAGCGGCTGAGTCAGAGGTACAGCTGCTTCGTGACTCGCGTGTCTCCCAGGGACCCTGCTGTCCACCCACCTTAACTACCACTTCATCTTCCTGGGACTGCAGGCTTCTCCTGTCCCTTCCAACCGGGCCCCAGCAGCATCCTGGCTCCAGGCCATTCCCTTCCTCTAAATGTGAATGACCGTGGCCCCCCACCCTGCTGTTTGTCCCTGTTGTCTGTAATGCTGTAAGCTTCTGACATCTGATGTGTCTTCAAAGGCCTGACTCAAGGGTGACCTCCGCTGTTGTGTCCCCACTGTGCACAGGACTTGGGGGAGGGGTGCTCACACACACCATCTCCCCTCATCCTCTCTGAGAGGTTTCTGCCGCGGTATTTTCCAGCTCTCTCTCTTCTGGGGCCCTTTCTGTTTATTCTTTTTTAGGACCAGCAAAATGTGCTGAGCATGACCGAAGACGCCACCCAGGTGGAAGCGAGGAAGACGTCCCCCTCCCTCTGAAAGAACGGGGTTATCGGAGATCTTAGCCTGAGAGGGTTGTAAAGGTTTGGTGACGGTTGCGCTGTGGCTCCGTGGTAGGGAAAAATAACTGTTCAGTATGTGCAGAGCCCCGGTTCCATTCCCAACAGGACAATGGCGAGATCACGTTTGGAAAATGTCTAGAGTGGTCACAGATGTGTATGGCATGTTCAGTGAACACTGACTCCTTCCTCCCCTTCCTCCCTTCACTCCACCCTTACCCTGTGTTACCCTGGAGGAGGAGAATGTTCACTTTGGCACATCAAGAGGCTGTCCCATAACAGAGGTAACAGGACCTCAGACCTCAGGATTTCAGGCACATTCAGCAAGGCATGACCCTCTTTTCTCTACAACAGGTCCCCTAGAACGCTACTGGATCCCTAAACACCAGGATCCAGGATCCCTCGGAAGCCTGCCGCCCAAGCGATCTGCCACGCCCCGTGCAGGCTTAGCTGGGCTTCTTCTACACTCATGGTCAGCACTGAGCCACGCATCCTGCCCCCCGCCCCCGAAACACTCTAATGACAGGGCAGGCACACACGCTAAAGAAAGCGACCGCCGGGCAGGGCTGAGCCGCGTGAACGATGTTGCAAGGACTTCCGCGAACCCATGAGGGGCCAGGAGGTGGGGAGGCAGGAGGACAAGCTGTCTCGCCCTCACTGGCATTCAGGGACAATTACAGCCTCTCGCCCAGCTGAGAGCAGTACTCTGCCCTGTGGGTCTGCACTGAGCTGGGGCGGCCCGCAGATGGCTCGGCCCACGAGCGTGTGGTTGGCAACTCCTGAACTTTGGGTGACTCGGTGCCAGCTGATCCGATCAGCAATTATGTTTTATTTTGGGGCCAGGGAGACAGCAGAGAACCAGGAAAATTATAAGACACTACAGTGCTATTTTGCTAAGAATATCAGCTGCAAAGTTGGTTTTGTTCTTTTTTTTTTTTTCTTAACCAATTGTCCTTCGGATGGTTTGGGGTTTTTCAATGTACTAAAAATAAAATAATAATAATAATAAAAAAACCCTGGATACAGAAGTCAGATTAGAGCCAACTGTCCCAGGGCTTATTTGGGTCTTGACCCAGTGAAAACCTTGCTGGTTGTACAACTGTTTGGGGGAGGGTGGCTCCCGCTGAGGGTGTGTCGATGGTGACAGTAGCTAGTACCTACTACCAGTCACTAGTGATAGTGTGTGCAATCTACCCAGACAAGTGGAGGTCCTTCTGTGCTTAAATCCCCACGGCTTCCTACCGGCTACCTGGGTTTGGATAAACCACACACAGTTAGGAGCTCCAGTTCCCTATCCATGAAAGGGGCAGGACCATCTAGGCCAGAGCTCACGTGTAGATCCATGAGACGAATCCTTCATACAGAAAGCATCTGGCCAAGGGCATGTGTCTAAGGTTACTAAGAAGTTAAGTTTTTCATCATAAAAAATAAATAGTCTCTGTTTTTACCCATCCTGGATTAAGCCCACATAGACAGTCAGCAAAAACAAAGATGCGAACAGTATTTCTGAGGACAGTTAGGGTTGAAGCAAGCAAAGAGTTTGTCACTTGCCTTGGCGACTATGCCATTCCAGGCTCGGCAGCTTAGCTGGTAGGAAAATACGAGAAAACGCAGGGGAGCTCAATCCAGTGTTAAGCAGAGATGACTCAGGAAAGAGATGCTGTTTATGCTCGTTGGAGCACTTGGCCCCTCCTTTCAATTCCACAGTCCACCGCTAAGCAGGGCTGCTTCTCCAAAAACAAAGCCCTGCTTAAGGACTTTGTGCGGGAATGGGCATAACTGCCACTTGTAAAGGAAGCTAGATCCAGAGAAAAACATCCCCAAACTACATCCCCAGGAACAGGGGTGATCTTCCTGAAACAATGTTTGCCTGCGTGGGCTGGAGAGGCCCAGACAATGTGCCCAGGACATCCTTGAAGGGCAGTGACTCATCTACCAATGCCCTCCCCTGTGCTGGTCAGAGCCACTTCCCCACCATCCTAAGGTTTAGGTCAAGATTAAATGTATCTCACTAGAACAATACTCGCATCACTGTGGGGAGGGAGGGGTGACATCACCTCTCCTGACTGGTCTGTCAAGACACCATACAGGGTCATGCACACCAGTCCTGTGTGTGCCAGTAACCAACACAGAAGCCTCACCACCCTCTAAGCCCAGCGTGTCACACGGCAGAGGGCCAGGCAGTGACCAGAGCAGGAAGGCAGGCAGCAGGTCACCGCCTCCCGAAACCAGCACTTGGTATTAGTCCTGGCGTATTATAAAAGAGGGATGGCAGTCTCGGAGTGGTGACGCAGCCTGTCCAAAGTCACATCTCTAGGAAATGGTGACGCCAGTCTGACTCTGAAGTCAAGGGAAGTGACCGACCCCAGATGGTGCTGTCCTCCCAGCAGATGGGAAGCTGTCACCTGGGTGAGGACTCAACACACCTTACAGCTTGCATAGTCAGAGACGTGGGGAGTGGGAAATGAAACCTGACTTTTCACTCTTTTAAAACTCACAGATATTTAGGGACCCCAGACATCAACAAGGTCTAGTGTGAGGCACTGGGGATAAAGTGTTAGGCAAGACAAAGCCCACGGGCTTTCTGGCCAGAGGGTCGGTTACAGTGGAAGTGACTCTGCCCACACGTCCTGTGTTGCTCATTAACATAGGATGTTCAGAGAGAGAGAGAGAGAGAGAGAGAGAGAGAGAGAGAGAGAGAGAGA